GAAGTGGTGTCATTATAGCTCACTGCAACCTCAAACTCCTGGGCTCAAATGTTTACCCTGCCTCAAGCAGTGCAGGAGCTGGGACTATAAGTACATGCCACCACACCCAGCTAATTTTTCTACTTTTAGTAGAGACTGGGTCTCGCTCTTGCTCATGCTGGTCTCGAACTCCAGACCTCAAGGGATCCTCCCACCTGAGCCTCCCAGAGTGCTAGGATTACAGGCATGAGCCACCGCGCCTGGCTGTCAGTCAAAGCTTTTTAGTTCAGAAAGGAAGAGCAGAAGCTCCTAGTGCTGGCTCCCCAGCTAATGGATTACAATTTGGGGGCTACATAAAAATGACAAAGAAAAACATCATATAGAGATATACCTTGAAATAATAGTTGTTAAAAAAATGCCTCGCATCAGAGGTTGACTGTATAAAAGATTGAAGACCAGAAACATGTATCGACTAGTCTGATTGCATTTCCAATTTTCTAGGGGCCAGTAGCATTTCTAATTTAGGCTACAAATTCTAAAATGTACAAATAAGGCAGAATTTCAAAATTTTACCTTTAAGAATAAAAAGTCACACCTTTGTTGAGTTCCTGAGTTAAATTATTTTTATTAGTTTTAAAAATTAATTCTAAGTATTAGAATTCATAAAACGAGTACTTCTTGGTGATAGACTTTACTATTGAGAGACCGACATACTACATTAATATAACTTTTCCTTTTTTCTTTTTTTCCCTACTTTTCTTTTCTTCTTTTTTAGTATTTTTTTCTTCTCTTTAATATACCTATTTCCACCATTTTCCATTCTGTTTCTTTTCCTGTTCATGTCTTCTATTTAGATACACATTGCTGTCTGGAAAATATGACAGAAACTTAGCCAAATTTTACTAGTTTTAGGACCTAAGTTTTAGTCTCCCAGAGAGTCAGGTCAGGCAGTATCAGGAAGGAAAACTTAAAGTGTGGTTTAAAGAACTGCACACCAGTGCCAATTTGTGATTTCAAATGAAAAGTCATTTTTTTGAAACAAAAGACAGAATGAAAGTAGCCCATACAGTTATTTGGGAACATTACATTTAAATTACAATAGCCTAACTAGAAGGTTCTACTTGGCAGTACTACAAACCTTGATAAAATTGTCATTTTTGAGAAATTGTTCTTTTGGATCAAAGTGTGAAATTCAAGCCAGTATACTTAAATTTGTGACTGGATTCAAGCTTTGTTTTAAAAATCTTGAATATTTTCCCAGTCTCTTAGAGGTTATTTATTAATTTAATATAATATAAAAACTGATATTTATGAATTCACCCAAGTTAAGAATGATTTATTATAACGAAAATGTTAGGTTTGGCCTTTCCCTTCATTCATCAGAAACAGAATCATCTTTTTGTTATTATTGAAAGGAAAGGAAAACACACCTTTATTTTGCACTAAATATCTATTTTAATCTTGTTTCCTTTCTGGGTTTTGCTCTTATGTTAATGTACATCTGCAGGGCATTTTTGAGATGTGTTTCTAAGCAATGGATCATTTATTTAATGTTCACTGAAAAAAAGTTAGCGTCTATAGAAAAATGAGATTAAACTTAATTTCTAACCATCTCAGTTATATG